ATATGATCTGTCTTCAGTATTCAAGTGTCATTCAATTGTCAGTCATATGAATTTCTTTCTGAACGGTCCTCTGTTGTTACTGACAGATATCAAAATATTATATCTTTTGAATAGGGAAAGTCTTCTAATGCTGAGGTCGTGTGGTCCTCTGGAACTTGGGAAAATATTTTTTCCAAGTTGAAATGCACCTGAACTCAGTACTAGTCGGTAAAACAAAACCTTCTGCCCAAGTTCTGCACTTGACCTCACTGCTATGGGGAGATGAACAGCTTATTTATTTAATTAATTATTTATTTATTTATTTAGGTTTATCTTACACATCTGAGCTCTTTGACTAAAAGTTACTGCATTTAGGGGGTTACTGTTAGTTATCCAGATCATAAGAGCAACAGATTTGCAGAAGAAAGACCCGAGACTTGCAGATGTAACTGAAACTAGCAAAAGTAAACAAATAACATTTAGAAGGCTTGTAGTAACCACAACTTTTAGCCTCCTGGTTAGCTCTATTAAATGCTGTTAATGACCAGGCTCAATTATTTTATTTTATTGATGGTAACATCAAAATCCCATTTTTTCTGAGAAAAAAGCATGTGAACCTAAATAAGTTGGAACCTCAACATTTCATCTCGGAATCCCAAATTCCAGAGGACCACATGAATGCAGTAATAAAATCCTTAAAATCAGGAAGGAATCATTTTCCTTATACACAGGCAGATACTAACATTAACAGTTTAAAGTCAGTACGTGCATGTCACAGCTACATTTAAATGCTAATGCACCTGATTGCATTTGACTTAAAGTTTTATTGTACTAGAAATCCAGGACAAAGTGTATTACGTTATTTTTAGAAGGTCATTAGTGAGATAACATAAGGCAAATTTTTACAATGTTTTTGAAAGCTGTCTATAAATGTTATTGGATCGTCCTTGACTCCTGCTCTCCTCTTCGTCTCTTTTATGGCAGTAGACTTTCACAGTACTTTGACAAATTATTCATATCTACTGAACATTAATTTTTCATGATATATTAATAAAACTGTCAAGCAGAGAAGACAGTTATGGGGCTCTTTTAATAATCTGGCCGCTTTCATTAAATCCCTTTTATATCTTGTTGTCCATTTGTCCATCGCCTGGAGACTTGTACTGTATTTCAGGAACGTGGTGTTCACAGTCATTTTATGACTTTTTGAACTTTTATTTCTGTTTTGTATTTTTTGTCTTCTTTGTTGTACTTTCTGTGGCATATGCACCATTTTAGACACGAATATGAACGTTAGACCATTTAGACCAAGTGAGTCCTGCAGTTATGTTGTCATACTGCAATACTTCTGAAAGTGAAAGTAACCAGAAATCCACAAATTTTTGCAACCAAATTAAAGGTGTTCCATGTAACTTTTCTGACAGAGTCCACCACCTGATTGTCTCTATGGACACATTTATGCTTTGCCTGCCACAGTATGTTATTACTTACTAAATGCAGATAAGCTGGTGGCACCATCAGGTCAAGTTATAGGTCAGATTTGTGGAGAGGCGAGCCCAGCCCACTGACAAAGAATGGTTTTTTTGGTTTTTTTTTGTTTTTTTAATGTGTCTTTAAAGTCATGTATTAGCTTGATTAAGTAATAATAACAAGTTCTTTAATATATAAAACGAGACAAGCCTAGCCTTGGGTTTTTTTTCTTTTTAATGTCTTAAGTTGAAGTTGACCCACTGAATCGCTCATCTTCCTCTCTTAAAATAATAATAATAATAATGTTGGCAATAATAACATACATATTCAAATAAATGCTAAAGATGCAATGCCATAATGCAGAATTTCTCAGGCAAAGCAATAACATCTCCTTGGAGACAAACATGGTGACTAAACCTCCACCTGAAAAAGTTACATAGTGCACCATCAGTGTGTTCTCAAATTATAGTAATAACAGCATAAGGCATTTTGTCTTTGTCTCTCCTCACTGCTACCACCCAAACTGCTCATCTGACTCGGGTGAATTTATAGCTTCCTCAGTCAAAGATACCACCCGACCGTTTTGGCGATGCAAGTGTAGCGTTTCGTTTTGTGGGAGACAGAGCTCATTATTAATAGTCCCGATGTTTACACTGCAGTAGTCTTTGACCCTGTGATGCTGTGGCGTTCTGCTCCCTGGTATTTGAAAGTTTCACTTAACACGACCTTTGACCTCCCAGGCTCCCACAGCGACATGTGCAAATCGTGTGCCATGTTCAGATTTTGAGACCGCAATGTAAACCCGCTGTGAGCACTTAAGGCTACTTTCAGACTGCAGGGCTTAATGCTCAATTTTTTTGTGAAATCAGATTTTTTTACGAGGTCCTTCACATTTCCAATTAAATGCAACTTGTACGTGATCTCCAGTGTGAACTTTAAATGCCCCAACAGTGTCCCTCATGCGCATTGGAGGACACACCGATGTCACACGCAGCAATCATGCTCAGTGTTTATGAAAGTCGCCTAAACATGGACGCGAGCATTGAGCACCTGGTCATTTTAAAGTTTATGCCGTACCGGAGCCAGAACATGTACAGCTTATTTGTTTTATGGAGGAGATTGAGAAGGAGAAGGATGAGGTTTTTGGCCATGGCATTTGTGGGGCAGTGGCAGCAACGTCTGTAGAAAGGAACATGTGGGTGCTGAGTCATAGTCAAGAGTGGTGCGGTAGCTCTGTGCTTCTCTGCGTCACTCACACGGGAGTTCATACACAGTTTTTGTATGATGAGAAGAACGTTTGTGTACATTTGTGCGTTCCTACTTGTACCACTCTCGTGGGAGGAAACACGTCTTTGCCAACCTATTTCAGTAAGCAAATTCGTCGGCGCAGATACGTGTCGCATAAGGACGAAAAAATCGGATTTGGGTCACTTAAGGCTGCAGTCTGAACGTAGCCTAAGTTGGCTAATATTAAATTGCCTCTTTTGATGAAAATATTATTAATGTTATTTTTAAATGTAGTGTATACCATCATAGACATGTTATTTTATTTTCTTTATTTTCTTTCTTATTTATTTTCTGGCTTTAACTTATCTATCTTTATGCAAGTTACACTACCAGTTACAGGTCAGATCTGTGGAGAGGCTAGCCCCCACACAGAAAGAATACACACCAAGGTATTTTTGAGAATTAAAAACACCTGTAAATGAAAAAAATCTAAATTTGATCAGTTCAGTGCCATACTGTGGAATATCAAATCTTATCATTAAGGTTGTAGATATTTCTAAATGCCAACATAAAGTAATTTCAACGTTATTAATTCACCTATATTACATCAATTGTGCCAATCTTCACAAAAAAAATCACTATGTTTATGGCAGCTTAAAGGTCCTATATTACATAAAATTGACTCTTGTGAGCTTTAAGTCATGTTATCATGTTGTTACCTCATCAAAAATACCTGTCATTGTGTTTTGTTTCACTCACACATACTTGAGTAACCCTTTATTATTAGTCTATCTACATCTCCAAACTCAAAATGCTCCATTCCACTTTGAGATGTCATGAAGTGGCAGTTTTCAAGTTAATGGCTCCTTTTACCTTTTGTTCAGTAGAAACTGGCAATTCCAGGGCTGAAATCATCCAAATGATTCTAGTGAAGGTGTAAACTAAATGTGTGAATGAAACAAAACACAACTCCAGGCATGTTTATGATGAGGAAACAACATTATGACAGAGATCAGAAATGGTGTAATATGGGCCCTTTAACTGCCAGAAACTACTACTTATTGAAGTACATTTTAAGTTATTCAAGGTAGCGTGACTCATTTACTGTTGGTGGTAAGTGGGTCGGAAGCTATGTGCTGTATAATTAAGTGAGAAACATGAGTGTCATAATATGCATCCCCTATTCTTCAAAAAGAGCTGTTTTTATCTGCTACCTGTGACTAAGTGTTATCCTTCACACTCCTCCCATGACAGTAACTGGTCAAAACAGACGCTTAAGTTTTTTATTAGGGGCTCCGTTGCTTCTGAGAACTGCAGTGGCTCATACCTGTTCCGGTAATTTTACTTTAAGTGTATTTTGTACGGCTGTCAATGAAAGCTGCCTCTAAACATATATTTAAAGTGCATACGAGACGGTTTGGCCTGGATGGGAGGGGACATAATACAAGATTATTGTAGTTGGGTGAGTTTTGTTTGTATCAACTGATGTTGTGTAAATATAGTGTTTAATGGCTTTCATTAAAAGGGGATTGGTTCTAATTGGTTCAGATTTGGTAATTACACCTGATGCCCTACCCTGATGTAACATGCAACATAGATTATTGTGACTAAACTAGACTAGACTAGACAAGTGGGTGCAAGCACAATGACAACATGTAATATAAATTATACAATGGAAGGCTTGTTCAGTGAAGTGTCTTGATGAAGAACATAACAATAATGTGAATTTTGGGATGTGGAAACTGGATTACATTTCTTTGGTTATAGTGGACAGTCTCCTCTGTATCCTGTTTTTGTTTGTTTTTTGGACTAATATTTAAGGAAAACGTCAGTGAAGTCTCTTGTTCAAGGACACCAGAACAATATGAACTTTTGGAAGTGAGAATTGGAGCACCAGTTTTTGGGTTATAGTTGACCGTCTTCTCTTCCTCCTAAACTTGTAACTCTTTTGTTTTTTGGACTAAGTTAAGGAAGGCTATAGTGTCTTGTTTGAATACACAACAATAATAATATGACCTGCAGAAGTGGGATTTGGACCACCATCTCTCTGATTAACAACTGAACTTCTAACTTGATTTTTGTACCAAGTGTCTCGCTCAACAGAAGTATGAACTATGATAAAAAGGAATTGAACCACTGTCATCCTGGCTACGACAACCTTCTCTAACAGGTTTTCATTTTGGTCCATTGTCCTGATCACTGAAGTGTTTTGCTTAAGGGCACAAGAATAATATGACCTGCAGAAGTGGGAACTGAACCACATTTCTTCATCTTTACCTCTCCAACCCCTTTTTGAACCAAGCATAATGTTGTGTGACACTTACTATGACAAACAGAGTCACTTATGGGCGTGCACTCCTCTATCTGCGTCTCCGTCTCCTCGTCGCAGATGGTGCAGGGCAGACAGGGGTCCAGGGGGCTGTCCCTTTCAGAGAAGGTGTCATCCACACACTCCTCGCACACCGTGTCGTGGTCGTGGGTGCAGTGTTCAAAGACCCCCTGTCCCATGGGGCACACGGTGCAGGGCTCACACTGGCTCGTGATCTCGTTCAGGAAGAAGTTATAGTTGCAAACACAGATAGCGTCATTGGAGTCGGTGCAGGGGGTCTCCATGCGCATCATGCCGACACACTGCGTACAGGGTATGCACTCATCTATGTGGCTGTAATTCTCTGAATAGGTCTCACCTGGAGGAGAGGGGCAAAAAGAGGAGAGAGGGGCAGACAGAGGTTTAAATGGTGAGGCTACGGCGTTAAAGTGCATAGAAACAATTCATTTCACTAAAGCATGGTTAACATCATTATATTTAAAGGGCCTATATTACATTATTTTCTGATCGATATTTTCCTTAACAACTATGTTTCATTCACGCATGTTTAACACACAAACCCTGCATATTTAGTTGGTTTGACATGGGCAGCGGATGTGACGTCTATAGAGGTAATTCTTCACATACAAAGAGAAGAGGAGAGAAGAGTAGAAGAGTTAAGAGCGGAGTAGACAGAGAGGTAAACATTGAGTCTAATGACATTAATCATGTTTACTACTCATTGATTCCACAGGAGGAGGCATTGATCCACTGGGCGTTCACGTTCTTCCTCTTGCCGAGGACAGGTCTGAAGCCTGCTGGGCTCATTATTGCATCGATTGTAATGAGTTTGACCAAACAGCTCTAATCTGGGCTTCAGAAACACTCTGCACATGAAGAGTGAATTATTTCTGGGATTCAGAAACATTAAAGGTCCTATATTAGGCTTTTGTGAGCTTTAAGCCATGTTTAAATGTTGTTACTTCCTCAAAAACATACCTGAAGAATGGAGATAACATTTAAAGGGGCCCGTGTTAAGCGATTTTCTGATCTATGTTATAATGTTTCCTCATCACAAACATCTGTACTGAACTAAAGGTTAAAGAAGCTGTTGTCATGATGCTGTAGGTTTCAAGTATCACAAGGTGGAGCAGAACATTTTGAGCTTTCGAGATCTAGACGGACTAATAATAAAGAGCTACTCAAACATGTGTGACTGAATCAAAACACAAATCTAGGTATGTTTTTGAGATGGTAACAACATTATAACATGACTTAAAGCTCACAAGAGTCAGTGTTTGAGTACCATAATACCTTTAAAGCTAACTAATCATTCTTTATAACATTGCATGTAATATAACTGTTTGTAATATTGATCCAAGTTTATTTGAGCAGTTCCTTCTCCTCTTCAACATTTGTACAAACTGTAATTTACTGTTACATTTGAATCATTTGCTATTTTCTAGGAACAGAGCAGTATTTTGGCAGAGGATTTGTGTCTCAATTGTATTACTTGGATTGTAGCTCATTTGCATATTGTTGTTAAAACGGCTTATACAGGCTGGTGAAATGTTTTATTACTTTGCTGTTTCCTGCCTCATTATAAAGAGTGATGTAAGTCCCTTTGTATTACTGTAAGACTGACACAAAACCAGAGCAAATAATGAACTCAGTGTCTTGGGAAATAATGTATTGCTTATTTTTAATTTGTATTTTTCACATCAGAATAATAGTGTATCCAATATTAAGTCAGCTCAACAGAAATGTAATAAAACTGGTAGCCTATTTATATCTAAATGTTGATGTTTAAGAATCAGGCAAAGTTGAAAGTAAGTTTGTAAAGATGATCAGACTAGCCAGAATCATTTTTACGTGTTTTAACATAGGGATTTAATTATCCTCGTAAAAATATTGACTGTCATAGTAGTAGTATAACTCCTGTACCATTAACAGGTTGTGTATCTTATTTAAAGTAATCATTGAAAGGTTTTGTCTTATGCAGATTTGACTCTTGTGAGATTTTAGCCATGTTATAATGCTGTTACCTCCTCAAAAACATACCTGGAGTTGTGTTTCATTTCATTCACACATGTATAAGTAATCTTTTATTATTTGTCTGTCTGCATATTCAAAGCTAAAAATGCTACATATGATGTTTGAGAATCTGCCAAAATTGAAATTACAGTAAAATTACACACAAAATTAATTTTTGTGCTGTTTTTATTATTGTAAAAGATATGAATACTGTACAAAATAGTGTGTAGATGAACAGAAGCTGACAGTGGATATTTTCACAGTCATTGTTGCATGCTTATGGTATAGGTGGTGTGGTATAGAATAGGGTATGTATGAGTGGTCACCTTGTGGGAGCTGGAAAAATTGTACAGTGTGTGATTTTATAATCCAGATTACACAGATGGAAGTGTCTATGCGCTGGAATGAAATAAATCTGCTTCTGTCAGCTTTACACTGTGGTTTATGAGAGCTGTTGTGAATAATGTGCATGTAGACCACCCAGTGCACCAAACTAAAACCATTCTGTCCAATTATTTTGACAATTTGTTTAATTATAAGCAAGTTTACTAAGACAGAATTGTGTACTTATTTCAATGTAATTTTAAAGGCATTTTATTCACATTTGAGTAAATGTTGTCTTACCCCAGTACAGATATACTGTTACGGCTACAGGCCTCCAGCTCCTCCTTCTATCTGTTTAGATCCATGTATGTGTGTGTGCAAGCATCCATATCCAGACTCCCTGCTGTGATGCTGTGATTGGTGGATTCCATTTAAGATGGCACCTGGATCCCCTCCTGCTGATTGGTGGAACCCGTAACACCTGTCCAGTCTTGGGCCTACACCTGGAGCACCGCCCCCTATGAAAGGACCCGCCCCCTGCCACTCAGGGCAGCTGTTCTGTGGACTTTCCTGCCACCTTTGTTGTGTATTTTGTTTGAGACACGAGAGTCCTTGTGACTTAGAGGCTGGTTATGTTTTTGTGTTGTCATTTTGTATACTTTGTCTGTTTTAGTCTACTTTAGTTAAATCCATTTTGCTACTCTGTTTAGAGCCTCTTTTTGTTAATTATTAGAAACATCATCTGTTAGCTTCAACTTAACAATTCTTTTAAATAAATCACAACTTTAGTTTCACCATTTTTAAATCTTGGTTATTTTGTTACTTCCCCCTGTCTCTAGCAGAGCCGGGGCTTAACAATTGTATAAGCAGCTCTTATGGTTAATATAAACCCACTATGTGCTTGATAATCAGGAAGTGAATGTTAGCTTGCTAGTTGTTGTTGTCCGTAGCTTTACTGTCACACAAAACTGTGCATCACAGAGAACTGTGAAAAACACTTATAAACTTACCACTGTGAATAATTAGGCTGCTCTGATTGTATAAGGCAAGTGAGGAATAACTTTGGACCACTGCAAATTATGTTTTCAAGACGGTAAAAATCAGATATAATACTTTTGGAACACTTTTGGATGACTGAAGTAAAAACTGAACAAACTAGCCAGAATAATTTTTACATGTTTTATCATAGGAACTTAATTGTCCTAGTAAAAAAGTTGTGTACCATATTTAAAGAAACATGGTGTTTTTTTGTCTGAGAGAAAAAATCAGCTTAAATATGCCTAAGTATTTGTATGTTAAACATGCTTGAGTGAAACAAAACACGACCCCAAGTATGTTTTTGATGAGGAAACAACATTATAACAGAGAATATGGTCAGAAAATAGTGTAATAATGGTTCTTTAATTTAAAATCTTGAGAAAATAAAGACTATATATAAACTATTTTAGCACTCAACATAATCTTTTAACCATGTTTCCTCAGTTTGCCAGTGGGATACTTCGTTTACCTGGATACTTAAATGTCTTAACAACACAAGATCAAAGAAATCCATTTATGTTCCAACAACTCACTGTGTAATTACCACTAACACATTTACGCCTCTGTTGAGATGCCAAGGAATAATTCAGGATTTCACTGGCGATTCAGAATTGACTACTGGGTGTGCCCTATAATGAATCCTCGGCATTTCATCTGCTAATAAGCCTCTATCTCAGTATGTGCTCTGAGTGTGGCATTGTGGGTGTTTTGTTGAGCAAGAGCATATTGTATTTGTCAGTGTGAAAAGCCCTGCAGCAATGTCCCAGCTCTGACGAAGGACAAAAAAAAAAAAAAAACTGGCTCAGATTCAGGGTCTAAACACCTTGTAAACATTCAGAATGTGCCTGTGATTGCTGTCATGTTCTCTATATGAGCAGATGGGGGGGATGATATAGAAGAGATGTGGGGCTAGAGGCCAGATTTTTCTAGAAAGGAGCACAAATTGATAAAAAGGAATCTGAAAAGTAGAATCAAGTTTCGATCCAAGATGGTAGCGGCTCAGATGGTTGTTCAGTCCCGGTTGTAGTGCTGTTGTTGTGTCCTGTTGGCAAGACACTTCACCCACTTTGTGTAATTTGCTATCATGGGCTTTTTTAACGTATTCAGTACTTACGTGTAGTGCTGTGATATTCAAGCCAGATGATACTGAACTTTTCTATAAGTTGCTCCAGAGTATAAGTTGCACCAGCCAAAAAATGTGGAATGAAGAAGAAAAAACATATATAAGACGAACTGGACTATAAGTCACACTTTTCGGGTGAAATTAATTTTATAAAATCAGAGACCAGGACCTGACATTTCATCTTGAAAGGCAAGTTATAGTACTAACAATAGAATAGAAAACAACAGGCTGTTAACCTAACATATTAAGTTATTCAGATAATTATAGCATCAACGACATAACAGAACAAGTTTACCAAACTCTCCATCTCACTTCAAAGCACTAAATCCATTGAATTCTTTATCCTTGGGTGTCACTTCTGAGCAACTCCTTGACCTCCGGAGGTAAATGGAGCGCCACTTCCTCTTCTGCGTAGCTGTTGTTAGACTCAGCATCAATTCCAGTTAGAATCATTCCGGCCTTTCTGAATCCCAACAGGATGGTTTCGGTTGTCACTGAAGTCCAGGCTTTGTCCATCCATCCAGTGACTTCCAGGAAAGTTGCATGGTGCACCCTCCCGGTTGTCACAAGTTTCTCTCTCACTCCAAACTTTCTTTCTGGCTGCATATTTCACTACTTGCATTTTCTTTTTGGGGGCATTTGTGTTCAGTCTTCTCAGTTGTCTTTATACTTACTAAATTTTAATTGGTACAGAAGTAATGGTGCGATCGACTGATATGATACCAGACAGGACAGAAGCTCTTTCTGCAGGAGACATGCGCAGTAGAGCGAAGTGACAGTGGTACAGGAGTAATAGGAGTAGCAGATAATGGCACACAAGCTTAGAGCGCCCTCTCATGGCTGTCAGTGTGAACACTTTA